AGAAATTTGAGTGCAGCTTAGCTGGGTGGTTCTGGCATAAGGTCTCTTATGAATGGAGCAGTCAAACTATTGGCCAGGGATATAGTCATCTGAAAGGTTGAATGGGGCTGGAAGACCCATTTCCAAGATTGCTAACTCACAGGGCTGTACGCACAGCATTTCAGTTCTTTTCTGGCTATTGGCAGAACAGCCACATGGGCCTCTCCATAGTGTTCATGAGTATTCTCATGACATAGCAGCTGGCTTTCCCCAGAGTGAGTGATCTAAGAGAGAGAAAGCAGGCAGAAAGTTGCAGTGTCTTTTTTAACTTAGTCTCCAAAGTTGTACACCATCACTTCTGGTTTTTTTCCTATTAGAAGCAAATCACTAAGTCCAGCCTACATTCAAGAGATGGCAAATGAGGCTTCACCTTTTTTTTTTTTTTAAAACTGAGATGGTTTTATTAGCTTATTCATGCCTTCTTTTTTTAAAAAATTATCTTTATTGTTGAAAGTATTACAGATGTTGCCTTTTTTTCTCCATTGTCCCCCTCCCCCCAGGCCTTCACCGCATTGTTGTTTGTGTCTGTGGGTTATGCATATATGTGTATAAGTTCTTTGGTTAATCTCTTCCCCTCCCCTCTCCCCTTCCCTCTGAGATTCATCAGTCTGTTCCATGCTTCTGTGTCTCTGGATCTATTTTGTTCATTATATTCCACATATGAGTGAGATCATGTGATATTTGTCTTTGACTGGCTTATTTCGTTTAACATAATATGCTCCAGTTCCCTCCATGCTGCCTCAAAGAGAAGAGATCCTTCTTTTTTACAGCTGCACAGGCTTCACCTTTTAAAGGGAGTGTCAAAGAATTTGTGATATTATTTTAAACCAATAGTTCAATCTGAATATTTTACTGTTTGTATTTTTAAACAATTTCTTCTTGCATTTGTAGTAGTCAAATACATGAAGCAAAAACTTGTTCTTTTTTGTATTTAATACAAGTTTATGAATTACATATTTTTCATAAAGTCCCTCTTAATGTGATGTAATGTTACTTTGTGATACTGTTTAGCACTTTAAATTCCACTTTGGTATTTATATTTGAATTTTTGCTTTTTCTTTGTTGCATTTACCCTGTTTTCAACTTTCTTTTCTCACAAACTATACCTGAGTTTTGTGTTTTAATGTAGTCTGGTAATCTTACTAGTTTAAAGGTAAAATTTTAATCCACTCACATTTAGTATAGCAACAGATATTTTTGAAAATCTTTCTTCTTTCTACTTTGTTTACTATTTATTTCACTTTGGTTCATCCTCTTCTTTTCCTTTGTGCTGTTTTGGTGAAGTTTTTTTATTTTTATTGTTGTTTTCTTTGACAGTTTTACTGCACTTTCCCATTCAATGAATGGGAATTCCCATTCATTGGTTAACTTCCCATTCCTGACATTTTTAGTAAATAATGTGTGTGTGTTTCTCAAATAGCTATAACTTTATTTTCCCACCATTATTTTCTCTCTCCTCCAATAAGATAAATGTATTTTTTTCACACTTTCCCATATATGTCCCACATTCAGATGAGATTTGTAGAGAGTTTTACTTTTCTCCCTTCACCCCTGCTCCCTGCAAGTACTAGCAATTGCTCATGCCATATTTTTAGTTCTTGACCATTATTAGGTTTTCCTTCATAGTATGCCTTTTCTGTTTCTTAGTACTTAAATGCAAGTCCCTGCACTATCACTATTGATTTATATTTAATTATATATTGCAAGGGTCATTGTTCACATCTGTATTTTTTCCTTTTGCTCTTTTCCTGGCTTGAGGACTTTTTATGGTTACTGCTGTTATTTGGTTAGAGCATTTTCTTGAGTGTTTTCCTCTATAGGACATGTGGATGCTATATTCTCTGAATGCAGGGACTTTGTATTGTTTACTTCTGTGTTTCTAACACCTGAAACTGTCTCTAGTACATAAAAAGCAACCAATACATGTTCATTTCTTGTGGTTATTAGATTACTACATATTCACATGTCTTTCTTCCACCCCAAAGAACATTTATGTTGTTGGCATTTGATATTTCACATATCTGCAAGTATTTTCTATCACCATGAGAAATTAATGATGTCTTAGCCAATATAGAATTGTTGGTTCATAGTCCTTTTCTCCCTTTAATTTGTAGTTTTAATTCTACTATCTTCTATCTCCCACTACTACAGGTAAGGAGTCTGATGCCTGGATGAGCCTTTTCCCTGTGTAATTTGTTCTTTCTGTCTGGCAGCTTCTCAGACTTTTACCAGGTAATAGGATATTTTCCCCCATCAGTTGTGCATAGGAGTCATGAGCTCTTTCAAACTTCAGGCTGAAGTCTGTTTTTTGTGTTTGTTTGTTTGTTTTTTAAATAGATTTTTATTGATTTCAGAGAGAGGAAGGGAGAGGGAGAGAGAAACATCAATGATGAGCGAGTCATTGATCAGCTGCCTCCTACACGCCCCCTGCTGGGGATCGAGCCCGAAATCCCGGCTTGTGCTCTGACCAGGAATCGAACTGCAACCTCCTGGATCATAGGTTGCTGCTCAACCACTGAGCCATGTGGGCCAAGCTGAAGCCTGTTTTTAACCATAGAAAATCCCCTCTTGTTTATGTAATTATTGCCTTTTCTCCATCTGTTCCTTTCTCCTGATTCTGGAATGCTTATTATTGGCATTTTAGTTCTCTTGGCTCTGAATTCTAATCTCTTACTCATGATTTTCATCATTTTCCTTTTTGTTCTGTGTGAGAGATTTTTTATCTGCTTGCTCTTTAAGGCCAATAATGTATTTTCCAACCATTCTTTCTCTTACTTAGCTCTAATTGAGTGATATTTTAAATTTGAATAGCACATTTTAATGTCAATAATTAACATTTTATTCTTTATTTTCCTCTTATTTATTTTTAAATAAAGTCTTCTCCAGCAGCCCTGTCTCATTAGGGGACAGGACTTTAGCAGGTCAGGTTGGTCTGCCTCTTTCTGGTTACTGGATCCTTAAGTGCTAGGTTATTTCCATTTTCTATTTTCTGCTTAAGCTAGGTTAAGCCTCTCCATAGTTGGAGGCACAACTCCTGCATCAAGAGAAAGTCTCTATGTTCCTAGGTGTCCCTAAATGTGTTTGTGTTCTTTTAGCTTGAGAGACATGGAAGAAGTTCCTCTATGCTTTTTCTAGTAAGATCCCCGAACCAGGACCACATACATGGTCTGAGTTAAAGTCTCCCCTAATCAAGGGACCCACAGGTCCCCTCAGGCCTAGTTCTTCTATGTTCTCACCCCAGGGCTCTCTGCTGCTGCTCTTCTAGCCCTCTTCAGGGGTGGATACCCCAATGGAGTCTCTAGCCTCCAATACTTCTCAGACTCCTCCAGCTTCCTCATCCCAGACAGCTGAAGGCTGGGGGAAGGAAGAGCATGAGAGATGGAGAAACCTTCACTTTTTCTTTAGTTTTGATGAGTAGTAGCCTATATTTCTGCAACTAGCTTATGCTACCTAAGGCCAGTGTGAATAAAGTTCCTTGAATTAATGTATAAGAAAATGCAAAATAATGGGATCTTAAAATTAGAAATAACACGGAGTTCATAACAAAATGAATCTCTTAATTTATACGATGCTTTATGGTTTTTATGCAATTTTATCCACACAGCCTCACTTGAATTCAAAAGTAGTCCTGTATAGTAAGTATGGAAGTTATCGTCCCCATTTTACAGATGAGGAAACTACAGCTCATAAAGATTAAATAACTTGCCTAAGGACACATGGGTAATAGTGGAGCGGGACTAGAGAATAAGTCTTCTTATTTCTTACCCAGAACACTATACTACTGATTGCTTGTTTGTTTTCAGTTGCCTTCAGAACATTGCATAATGTTCAATCATATTGCGTAATGATTTCTGGAATCCCTAAGTTATATGTTGTAACCGGTATTATTTTTTCAACTATTTTTATTATATTGATATGAATAATTCAAATGTATATAAACACTAGGACAGTGAGTGTAAAGCAGTAAGATTTTCTTACATAATTTGAAATCTAACAAAAGAGGAATTTCAAAATAGTTTGTAAAAGGATTAATATGACTAGAATATGTGTATTATTTCTTGAAGGTAACTTTTGAAAGAGGACATACATTTGGATAGATGAGTACTTTCACTTTCTCTTTGTAATGTATTTTTTAAACATTTAAACTAATCTTACTGTGCAATAGAGATGCATTCAACCTTTTCTCTATCAGGCCTGGTAGGCATGAGATGTTTGTTTTGTCTTAGAGTTTAGTAGCACAGAAGTAAAGGAATCAATAGTTCTTATAAACACCAGACCGTTGTCCTGATCCCAGTTATTTTTCATGCTAACACTGTGTTTAAAATTATTATCTCATACCCAGGAGTGATAATCAAAATATTTAACAACTAATATGGCCTAGTCAGTGAGCAGTGAGAGCACATACCAGCTATCAGTACTGAGTGTGACTGTATCAGAGTGTACTGCTGGTATCTCAGCCCTGCTCCCAATTACACGGTGCCTTCCTTACACGTTCCTGGGGACTTTCCTATCCATTCTCATTTGATCTGGGGGTGGGGTGTAGTGTCATCCTCTTTTTGCAGTTTGAAGGACTCACACACAGCCCAGAGAAGTTAAACATAGGGCCACTTAGAAGTTTCCCTCTTTTCTAGGGAAAAGGAAAAAAGAATAGACATTTTTTTATAGGACAAGTATCAGCTCCTTTCAGAGAAAACTCATAGTGGGTGGTGGGTAGAATGAGTAACCCCCCCCCAGCCCCCATTATTTTCCTGTACCAAGTTAATTCTTCACTTTCAAGGTCCCTTGCAGGAGATGCCCGCCCTGGAAGCATAAAACTGACTCAAGCAACTGAGCAGATTTTTCCCAATGGAAGAACTGATTCAGTTTCTTTCTCCATGTTCACAGGGACATTAAGTCCAAAGCCTTACTTTAAAAGTACATTTCTGTAACTGCTTGTTTTCCCCTTTCTTCTTCTTCCACAGAACGGCCTCCCCTCACAGTACAACCCATATGTTTTCAATGGTGATTTTGTAGATCGAGGAAAATATTCCATCGAGATCTTAATGATCCTGTTTGTGAGTTTTCTTCTCTACGGCGATGACCTGTGCTTAAACAGAGGGAACCATGAAGATTTTTTGATGAATATGAGGTAACCTAGGCCTTTAGATTCCCTCTTTTGTTTCCCATTCTGGAAAATTCTATCATATTTAGTTCCTAGCAAAGAGAGGTGAATGTGGAGAAGCAGAGATGAGGATAATCTCAGTTCTTACCCGTTAGAACCCCTAGTCCCCTACTGAGTGAGTGTACATTGTTCTTTTCTTCCAGTTCTGTTCATCCTTCCCCCTTCTGTTAGGTTCTTTCTTATCCTCCCATGCCCACCCTTCACAGTCCAGATTGTGTGCTGGGTCGATGTGCTAGGCCAGGTTTGGAGGTGTGGTAGGTTCTATGAGCAGGCTTCGACGGAATCATTCTGTTGCTACCCTTTTGCCTTGTCTCATGTGTTGTTTCTGAAACTAGTCACTGTGTTATTCACTGATGTATATATTTTTTATGACATGGTAATCATTTCTGGCACAGTTGTTCATGCACATATTGGAGAACAGCTGTAACATGCCATTCCAACTATCTGGCTCGCTGGAGATTTGAGGAATACAGATTAGGTAAATGGTTTACCAATTTTTACTGAAAGGTCCAATAGGTAATAGATGTTCCCCTTTCCCTTCTTTCTTCTTTTTCTTCCTCTTCCCTCCTCCTCTTTCACCACTTTCCTTCCTCCTCCTCCTCCTCCTCCTCTTCTTTTTTGTTTTATTTTTGTTGCTTGTTTTATGAGAAACAGGAACCAGTTTGCCCAAGGGCAGTAAGAAGGCATGGCATGTTTCATGTTTTTGGGTCTGGGCTTTTGGGTGCCCTGATCAAAACTCAGCAACTGATTAGTTTTGTCTTTTGGGCATTTTGGTACCTGGCCAGAGTACAGGATTTTAATTCTAATTCTTAGGTATGGAAGCAAATGCCAAGACTGAAGAAAAAAATTTCAAGACTGTTGTTAAAGGCTCATTTTATGTAATAAAGCTCAATACTTTTATTTGAACATGACATTTATCCTTTCATTTATTCATTTAGCCAATCATATTTATTTAGTGCCTACAATGGTTAATGAAAGAGATATGGCTGCCCAGCCGGGCGTGGCTCAGAGGTTGAGCATCGACCTAGGATTCAGGCGATCAGGGTTCGATTCCCGGTCAGGGCACATGCCCAGGTTGCGGGCTTGATCCCCAGTGGGGGGCGTGCAGGAGGCAGCCGATCAATGACTGTCTCATCATTGATGTTTCTATCTCTCTCTTTCCCTCTCTTTTCCTCTCTCTGAAATCAATAAAGATATATTTTTTTAAAAAAAGAGAGACATGGCCACTGCCCTCATAGAATTTACATCTAGCAGGCAAGACACATATTGAGCAGGTTTTTCAAGTGTGGTGAGTTTGTAAAGTGGGGGATCCAATTTGTCTGAGAGGTGACAGAAGGTTCTCCCAAGGAAGTATGGCGTTAGTCTGAGCCCTGAAAAATGAATTAGGCGATCAAGAGAAGGCCATGGTGTTTCACAATGAGGGGACAACATATGCAAAGCTTAAGACAAGACTTTTTAGACTTCAAAGAACTTCAGGAGGGCAGGAGCAGAGACTGATGGACAGGATGGTGTGTGATAGGGTTGGAGACATAAGAAATGGTTGGATCATGCAAAAGGATTTGGATTTTCTTCTGAGGACAACAGAAAGTCATTGGAGAGTATAATAAAATTTGTGTTTTAAATGCAGCAGGAGAGTTAATTGGAGAGGGGCAAGAGTGTATATGGGGAGACCAGTTAAGAAGTAGTTGAAGAGTAGGTACATGATGGATTCTCACTTAGACTAGGGTGGTGGGGATGGAGATGCAAAGAAGTGGACAGAAGAGGAGTTTAGGCAATGATGATTTTAAGGCTTGTGACATGGTATGAAGGACTTGAAAGAGGAGAGAATCAAGGATGATCTCTAGGTTCTTGGCTTGAGTTTGGGGGTACATAGCATCATTCACAGATATTGGGAACATGAAAAGAGGAGAAGGTTACGATGAGAGAGAATGATGAGTTCAATTTGGGGAAAGCTGATTTGAGGCGCTGTTGAGTATACATGTCCAGAACTCAGAAATGAAGTGTGGGCTGGAGCATTGTCCTGGAGTATTGGAATATAGATAGTATCTGCGGCCCTGGGCAAGGATGTGATGTCCAAGGGAGAGAGGGAAGGGAGAAGAGGGCCTGGGACAGAATCTGAAGGAACTCCCAACATTTAAGGCAAGGTAGAGGAGAACTTGGCAAAGGAAATTCACAGTAGCTAGAAAGGTAGGAGGAAAACCAGGAGAGTTTACTGTCACACAATCCAAGAGAAGAAAAATTTCCCAGAAGGACTGTGTAGTCAGTTGTATTTAGTGTTTTAGAAAGAGCAAGAAAGATGAAGACTATAAAGTGTCCATTGGATTTAAGAACATGGACACCTTTGGTGAGTACAAGACTGAAATCATCTCAGAAAACATAATGTTACACTGTAGAAGCCTGACATATCATGATTTGCATAGAAACCTGGAGTGAGTATGTTGTGTTCCAACTTCACTGTGTTGGGTATTAAGGGTATATACTATTATGCTAAGGCAAGGAAAAGTAATTGAAGAAAATTCCCATTATTAAATCTCCCTTAGTGACTGCTATTCAGGCTCTAAAATTCCTGACACTTTCTATTAAAATCTTCAATACCATTACATGAATTATATCAGAGAGACTATACAGAGCCAACTTGTTTATCTTCTAAGCTTTTCTTAGTCTTTGTTCAGTCTTTTTTCCTCTCCATATCATTCATTTACTATAAGATATAGGCTGTCTGAGAAATTCTATGTAAACTAAAAGCATTTTCCCACACAGCTTCCCCTAGCTTCCACATTCTTCTCTGAATACTTGCAGCACTAACACACCTATGCTCACCACATATTTTTTAAGTTGTCTCGTGATAGTTTCACAAAAATTTATCTTCTTTCGCCAAGTATACTACAAGCTCCTTGAGGATAGGGGTGAAGTCATTGGCTGCTTTTGTTCTTTCCCATCATGTCTAGCAAACACTTGGGTAAGTAATAGTCAGTCCCAACTAAAGTCTAGTTTCTTAAGTTGTTGACATTTGTGATAGTGAGGTGTCAAGGCCTCCCGTTTTTGCATGACTCACACAAGTAGCAGTTATCAACATTTAATTAAATAGCTTAAATCCCCCCCTCTTTTTTTTTCTCCAGGTATGGCTTCACAAAAGAAGTCTTGAATAAATATAAGGTAAGACTCATACTTTTAAAAAAAACTCTTTGCTGTCTATCCATAGAAGTAAAAAAGGAGCCTTCAGGAAGGGTGTTGGGTGAACTAGTCAGAATCCATAGCAATAAAAGCGCAGCAGGAAGCCCTGGCCATGGTAGAGGCTTAATTTTCTTCCTGGACTAAAACAAGCTTTTTCAGTGTGACTTTTATAAATTTCAGCATAGATACAGACATATTCCATTGTTTTAAAGGTACCTGGGATTTGTTTTACTCAGGTATGGTGAAACATGCAGATATGAAAATAGCTGTCCTAAATGAAAAGGCTTTATTCACAGTTACCAGGAAACAGGAGGCACAGCACACCACATTGGGGGGCCACATGGTGAAGCACCACGGTTGGGCAGAAGGCAGAGGCAGTGAGAGGGAGAGCCTGTTCCTTGTGTTTTCCCTGGGAAGGAATGTGGAAGGCAGTGTAAGCAGATTTAGGATTAGCTATTTTGAGTAATTTCAGCCCCATAAAGGAGGTGTTTGGGGGTGTGGGCTCTTAATTGGTTGGCTTGCCTATGAAAGGCGAGTCATTTACTATCTTTGAGAATTAGCTAGCCCTGGAAGGGGCAGTCTCAAAAATACAGAATAAAAAGAAAGACATGATTAATGCATGCTAGTGCATTAGTGACCCTGTGCTGACTTCCTTTGGGTGGCATGAAAACAGTTTTCCTTTTTGTTCCTACGTTGAAAATATTCAATAAACTTGAACCCATCAGAAAAACGAATCTCATTCAAGCTCTTACTTACAGATACATGGAAAAAAAATCCTACAAGTCTTGGAAGACGTTTTTGCCTGGCTGCCACTCGGTACAATTATTGACGATGAAATCCTGATTATGCACGGTGGGATATCAGAGTCCACAGATTTGAATTTACTACATCATATAGAGAGAAACAAAGTAAGAAGGCTGTTTACATGAATCTTGTCTCAGAGATTTATAAGGGGACATATACGTCTTTTTTTCATTTATTATTTTGTACTCATTTGTGTTTGAGTGGCTGTTGTAACTGAAAAGATTGGTACAAATTTTAGAAAATCTATGATTGTATGGTAAGGAACTAAATGGGTAACTTCTCTATATGGGAAATTTTAAAAAATTGATTTTAGCCCGGCCGGGCGGGGCTCAGTGGTTGAGCTGCGACCTAGGATCCAG